TCCTATTTCTTTCCAAACTAGATGATTTAAGGGTGCATATCAGAGTATCCAAACCTCACATCTCTCTAGAAATTCCAACTTGATGGTGTTTTGAGATCATGTTTCTCAGCCCTCAGTCAAATATTTCTGCTAAAGGTAGCAAGCATTGTATGCGCGAGTCAACACTTATTAGCTACAATATTGGTGTAATAGAAACAGGTAAAAGTTTGAGAACCAGCCTTCTAGAATGGAGTATCAGACAAGACTGAGTCTAAACAAATTCTGTCCTATAACCTGACATTCTATTCTGAGGTACGTGACCAGAGCCATGCTGCGTCAGAGCCATGCCTGTCCTTGGCTGGTGCTAGACGTGGCTGGGATTGGCAGTCCTTCCAGAGCAGCCTGTGGTGGGGAGGGGGAGTTGTCTAAACAGAGGGCAATGTCATTACTAGAAGGTGGGGGCAAGGGTACCAGGCAGCCAGAAACCACTGTGTCCTTACAGGCAAGCTGATGGGAAAGGGAGTTAAGTAAATTCAGTGTGGCTCTTGTAATGGCTGTCTTCTCAAGATCCTCACCAAGAGTTTGAGATTATGTGCATTAAACTCAAGGGATGACACTGAAGTAATTTTCTGGATCCTGAAACTTATTTCTTTTTCTAATGTACACTGGTCTGTAGCTTAGACATCTATTAGTTGTATGAAACATGGGTGATATTCCTAAAGGTAAAGACTGAGAGTAGTGGGGGATTTTAAATTCAATGCATGTTGTATATCTTCTCATCACTATTACTTCACAACATGGAACATTTTATGTAATAAATATATTTAAGACAATGACTAGATGAATAAAGACACCTTGTGCCATACATCCATAAGACTGAGCTGAGTTTTTTAACTGTGACTTGTTTAGTTGTAAAGAAAGGGAGCACTTACTGGCAGGAACCACAGGCTCACCCAAAGAGGAAATGCTTTCAAACTTAGGATGTGTGTTGGTTATCACCACAGCTGACCTCAGATTCACAATGGCAAAAACACAGTCAAGAAAATAAAATTAATATACCTAAGGGAAAATATATTCAATGCCCAATGAATAGAAATAAGACATTAAGAAGATACCACTAGCCAATATGACTTAAAACAAGTAACACCAACTAAATTCATAAATATTATCAATAAAACAAGAGAGTTCCAAGCCTTCCTTGTGGTGGAGGGGGTTAAGTCTCAGTGCTATTACACTATCACCACTGGCTGTGGCCTGACTTCAATCCCCAGCCAAGGAGCTCACTCGTAAGGCACAACAGATCACTCCTGTCTCACCTGCTACTCCCTTGAATAGATCTGTCTGTTCTGTTCTCCACTCTGTCTCTGGTGAATTCTCTTAACCCCTGCACCACTGGTCTATATCCCAGTTCTTCCATACATAGATAAATATTTTTTAAAGACTAATTTCAACTAATTGCATATGTCCAAACAGAACCATTGTTTGAGCGCTGATTTCCTGCTCTGCTGGACTGACCGGTACATGTACAACTCCCTGCAAGAAGCCTAGAGCCTTCAATGGAGAGCAAAGACCATGCCAAGGTCTATACCGACTTTTGGTATCTTAAATTCAAAATGTTCTGTGCCATAGGCCTCCTGGATTCCTTAAATCTTTTCTGACTTTGTTAACAAGCCATATCTTCCCTCATCTTATACTATACAGGTACTTAACCATATTGAACCAAAAAAATAAATAAAAAATAATTGCCCCTAACAAATGATTTAGTGCTTTACTTCAGTCTAGAACTAGCTAGAATCTATGATAAAGTACCTTTATTTCCTTCCATGTTTTTGTCATCTATAAATGCTATTGTCTGTATGCTTCCTTTGTATTTTACCTGAAAAATAATAAAGGCATTTTATTAACTTTAATTTGCAACTTTTTGAATTGTAGTTTTAAAGTGAATTAGTAATCATGCATTTGTAAATGTAATCATACATCTATAATCATAAGAAAATGTCCATTTTGGCAGTGTTTATAGAGGAAAGGAAATACTACATGACTCTGATTTGTTTACTAGTTTCTAGTGGGGGTGGGCCGCGAAGGGAGGGGGGATCATTCTGCTCTTTGACCTGGTGAGAAGGAGAAACTCCCCCCAGAATCTATGACAAGGCTCAGGTCCAATAGTGCCATCTCAGAGCGAAGGCCCCAGCTGAGGGTCAGCTCTGGGAAAGGGAAGAAGAGGCAGAGGAAGAAATGACTAGAAGCCCTGGCAAAGTCCCCAGCAGGAAGCTTCTTCCTACTGGAGTCTTTTGTCATTGCTGGATACTGTTTTTCTTTCTAGTCACACAGAAATACAAAGAACTCATGGGGGAAAAAAATTTGATTTGCAACATCATGGCCAAAACAACTGTGGGAAAAAGACAGACTCAGGCTTTTCATTCCCAAAATGAGCAAGAGAGGCAGCGAGGAAGATCCTGCCCCTCAGCCCCAGAGAAAGAGTGACTACGTGAACAGGACATCTGGTTGAGACAAGAGGCAAGAACAGGGGAAAATATTCCAGAGGTTTTACCTACATACAACCATGTCAACTATAAAAAAATTAAACAAAATACAATAAAGTTAAGAAAGCAGCATCTAATATTTTTCTTTATATCAGGTTTAATTAACTGTTACCAAAAAATACTACTACTAAAAAAAGAGGCACCCAGCATGAAGACAATCTAATTTTACTTTATTGACTACTGTCCCATATCTAGTATTTACAGATATCATTAAATGGAATTTATAAGACTATGAAGTGCAACATTTTTAAAAGTTAATCTGAAACAATAGAAATCATTATTTCACGTGTAAATGCAATAACTAATTCATAATTTTCCAGCCAATATCCAAGATGGTTCACTTCATAAAAACACTTTTCAAGAAGGGGTAAGTCTGAGGAAATGTAAAAAATTCAGAAAAATATTTCCATGTTTAGTCATAATCTTCTGTTTTCTCTGTAAAAGAAATCAATAACAATTATAGACAGTCCCAACTGCACAACTTCAGTGTCATATTTAAGTGTTAGCATATAAGAAATATTTTAAATTTCCACAAGAGGTTTAAATACTTTTTATGGTTAGTAAGAAGAACATCCAAATCTAAAACCAGCCATAAATATTACTTTTAAAAGAGCAAAAAGGTGGCCATGACTGCATTGTGGATGACCCATGGATGGACACAAGGTGTATGATAAAAAAGATAAACAATAATCAGTCCTAAGTGTGATTTATCATAGAAACACATTACTTGCACAGACATTTAAGAGGAATTCAGAAATGTGCTGTCTACTTTTGTATGTCTAAGATCTCTCTCTCTCTGATTTTAACTGGCCTAGCATTACCACCCACACACAGAATTCAAAAATTAAAGTACTTTTAACTTTAAAAAGTTTGGACTGTGGCCCTCCCTGGTCGCGCAGTGGGTTAAAGCACAGCACTAAGAAGCTAAAGCCACTTCAGCATGAGTTCGATCCCTGCCGCAGAGGTGACCCACATAACACGGCAGACCTCTCCCGCTGTTCCTGTCAGCAGTGTACTCATCAGTTGTCCTGTTCTGCTCCCCACTCTGTCTCTTGTGAAGCCTCTCACTGTCCCTGCCTGTACCCCAGTTCTGTATGCATAAATAAATAAATCTTTAAAAAAAAAAGTCTGGATTGTGATAAGGTCTAGACTTCCATTTTTTCTAAAAGACATGGCTCTCAAGTTTTATTATAATTTTTACGTTACACACAACCTAGTATACAATGCAAAACATTTAATCCCCTTCTACGCTTTTTGAACCATTTCAAAAATGGCAAAGACAAAATAAATCCATGAAAGTTACTTCTGTGTTAACATCCTGAAAAGTAACTTATAGTTTCCAGTGGTATTCATTTCTGCTTGGATAGCAGTGCTGAAGGGGCAGAGGACCATGGCTTAAAAAATTTTAAGCCACAATTGTAAAGCATATATTTGCCCCCCC